TGGATATGATGAACGGAGGTGGGTGGAGAAGAGGTGGATGGGGAGGAGGTGGATGGGGAGGAGGCGGGCGGCAGCATGAACACCTGAAATCACAGCTGACTGCAGGAGAGAGGAGAACCATTTTAAAGTTTGGCTGCAGCTCGGTGATTGGCTGCTGGAGAATGAGGTGAATGTAATAGGTTAAAGAGAACGCCTGTGATGAGCTGATTATAAGCAGCTGCGGAGTGAATGTATACATACCCAGTCTTCCTGAAAGAACTTGCGCTGAGCTTCATTTAGTGAGTCAGACTCATGGTCAGAATGCTGGTTGGGAGGCTCAGTTCTTCCTGTTGACAGAAGATGGCACTTTTCTGAGAGGGAGCCAGCCGGCAGACACTGGACAGTGGCACACCAACAGATGAAACAGGAATCCATCTGAGAGGCTATGCGGAAAAGGATAACAAATAATGTCAGCAAGACATGAACATATATAACCACTATCATTCAATTCTGTAATTGCAGGTTTGTTAGCATGATATTTCAAACATAAATGGCCTGTCTTAGTTTAAAGCCCACTCACCACGTCAAGGTGCAGGCCACGAGTGAGGACACAACAACGATCACAAACAGTACATACACACGAGACAAAACTTACATACATATAAATAACTTACATATACAATGAACAATGATAAAGATTTAAATCACAATTGATCATAACTCAAAATACATATATTTTTATATATTACCAAGTGGTTTCATGTAGGCTACAACCCACACAAGTATCATGCTAAATTAAGCTCTGTTGCTTGGATATCACTAGATCCTGTTACATCAGCGTAATATAAAAGTACATAACGACTGATGTGTAAATTAGCATAATTACTAGCTAGCCGCTAGCTGCTAACTGCCGCCTCGTCGTTAATATCAAATCCATCATAACAACCCATTACCATGCTGTCATGAACGCGCGGTGCTGTTACGTGTACGCAAATTGACGTGCTTGATGTGAACGAGCATTTTGGGGGGCATGTTTAAAGTTGCGCATGCGCTATGAGCGCACATACGGGTACTTCTCAGGCATGCCGGGTAATCTGTGACGTTTCGCTCTCTCAAAAGTTGGGCCATTTTGTCATCATGCGCGATTGAGCAACTCTCATAGGAATGAATGAGGCCCCGCCTCCCACGCTGTATCCAGTTCTTATTATACATCCATGGGCTCTTGACGTACCGTAAGTGACCTGTCCGGGGGGTCCGGGGGGTTTCCCCCCGAAATTTTTTTTCGAGAAATGACCCCTTAAATGATGACTTCTGGTGATGTTAGAGGGGGGGGGAAAGGAGAAATCGAGGCTTAAAAATATGAGAAGACTGATCAATACCTCCATAATCTTCAGTGTGGAAAATATTATTTATCAACCTGAACATCTACTACTTTACCAGGAATTTGTGTTCTCAGAACTGGTCTGTTTTTATCTTTCTTAAAACTGTTCATGTTTTATGAACCAACACCTTCACCAAGTAGCTTTACAGTGAACTGCATGTGAGATATAAAATTAATAGCATCTTTTCAGTAGCATTAATTATAAATATTTAAGTGGTTCAATACAAGTCACTACAGCATTTCAAACTGAACTGTGAATAAATGCAATTTAAAAAAAATAACCACAGCACAAAATGTCATAAATTGTGTTTTTTCTTTGTTTCTCTGAGGATTATTTACAAACAGGCTTATTTACATATAGCAATAACTCAGAAATGAAAAAGCTACATCGTCTAACACGAACAACCAGTTAGCATAATGATAATATATGTGTTATGTACAATGTAACTGGCAAGGCTAGAGCAAGAAAGAACATAAAGTTTGCAAAAGGTTTAAATAACTTCAAGTATCTGTCTTCAGATTACGTGGAGGTTTTAGTCCGATGGGAAGCAGATTTTAAGCGACACCGAAGATAAACCAAAAATGTGGTGGAGCTGCAAACCGTGTAGTGTTGCTGGGACAGAACAGGAGCTATAACCGTTGGAAAATACATCACAGACAATGCAACAAACGTGGAGACAGAACAATCACTTCTGTGATAAATGCCCACTTATTAATAAACTTCTAACAACCATGGGAAACCTCCTCTCTACATATAAAGTGATATCCAAGCATGGGAAACAAAAGACAGCATTTACCTGTTTGCATCCAGCTAGCCAAGCCTTTCTTGTGTACCAGCTACTAAGCCTCGTGTATAAATGTTGTCTTTTTCACGAGATTGCTGCGATATATTCAAATCGGGTTGGTCCGGTGCAAGGTCTTTAAGCAACAATTTATCTGCCAAACTTCTCCTTTCGAAAGGATTGGAGATTAGCTCTTGAACAGAATTAGCCGGGGACCGAGGTCCGGAGACTCCACCTGCACACGAAGCCATCCTCATCAACTACTGCGTCAACCGGATACGAGTCACTGTCCAAACTACTCACAGACTGCACTGGGCGCTGACATTGGCGCCCGGTGACCGTCATCTTTGACGACGCTGATTGGCTGAAATTATATTTTCGCGGCATAGTTTACACGTTACAGATAGCAACAGTCAGCTGCTGGTGGCTGCTGCTGCACTGGTTGAAGGCTCCTCTCTTAGCGCCCAGACGAGAGAAGGTGCATGGGCAAGTCCAGGCAGGAAACATGTGACTTATCAGTAACTTTAGACATCGTAACACAATTTTAAACGAGATTTTATTGTAGATTATACATTTTACTGATACCAATTATATAATATTTACCTTGTTCATTAAAAATAAAAATAAAAACATATATATTTTTTTAAACATATTTTTTTTTTTTAATTTTAATTTTAATTATTATTTATTTTTATTTTTTTCAATATGGGAAGAGGTGGGGCGGCGCCCCTAGCGCCCCTATGGACCGGCCGCCACTGTGTTGAGGGTGTATAAATGATGACGTTAACCCTCTATGGCATGACTTTTTATTTTGGGAGGAAAAAAATGTTTCACCATGTGCTTTAGGAGCTTAGGGGTACCTGATATTATATCAATTATAAAATGTGACACCCCTCAACCAGGGGTTGGTTTGTTGCCTCAGGGCAACAATGTGCTACGAGGGTATTGAAACACCAAGGATTTCTACAATTCAGAAGAAATAGAAAAAAACAACTCTATGAATTCAAAAGGTTTTCTGCGTGTGCGTGTGCGTGTGCGTGCACATCTGTGTCTGTGTGTCTCTGTGTCTCTGTGTCTGTGTCTGTGTGTCTGTCTGTGTGCCTAACCCTATCTTGACCCTCACTGTCAGACGGAATAGCCCTAACAGCCTGACCGTGTCCCTTCTGCCCATAACATGTTTTGGTGTCCATTTCCGGTAAATACATTTTAATAGGTTTATCATTTTACAGCTTAGCACATTTGCACACTTGCATGATATTGCCTGGAAAAAAGTGGTCCAAGTGGCACAGTGTTGCCCTGAGGCAACAAACAAAAAAACATAGTTTTAGCTAATTAATAAATACATAAGTATTTAAACAATCAAATATACTTCTTTAGGTATTCATGCACATGCATGTATTTTTTATTTTAAGTTGTGTACATTTCTAATATGTTAAGTTAAATGTATCTTACCAAGTGGTGGCCCTGAGTCCCCTGCAGCTTTGCTTGCAGAAAGGACTGCTCCACCCCCAGACAAAATACCACACCCATATAATTCCCTCATTTTATTGGACACCAGCATGTCAGGTGACATTGTGTATATTTAAAAAATATATATATATTTAGAGGGCCAGTGTGAGGTGGTTTTTTCGACCTCACACTGGCCCTCTAAATTTTTTTTTTTTTTTTAAATATACACAACAGTATGCCAGAGGGTTAAGTTGCATTAATTGTACAAATTACCACTGTGTAAAGTTGACATATCACTCCCCCATGTCTGTTGCTGCTGATTGTGTGCACCTGGTGCCCTGTGTTGTCTCCTCCCCCCCTCACCTGTGTCTTGTTGGTCTGATTGGTCTGGGTGTATTTAGGCTCTGTTTGTCCTGTCAGTGTGGGTGAGATCCTTGTGGTTGGTGATGGTGTTCACATGGACAGTCAGATTGAGGCTGTGTCATGTGTCTATGATTAAATAAATGCCCACACCGGGTTATATGTGAACTCTCTGCCTCTGCCTCCTTGCTTGGTCGGGCCACTCAACGGTCAGTACCACAATAACATAATGTCATACGTATGTGGTTGTGTGCATATATTTGTATATATATTTAAAATTAAAAAGAACTAATCAAATAAAGTGATGCCAAAACCTAACAAGAAATGAAAGATAAATAAAAAACATGTAAAAACATAATTACCAGGTTTTTAAAACATTATATCTTAAATTGGTGAACGATTTTTATAAAAGAGTTGCCTTAAGGGAAATGTAGGATGCAGTGCCTGTGTGTGTATGGTAATAAATGACATGGATATAGAATTTAATAATAATCAAATTAATATTATTAATTTATCCCAGAACAGAAGAGAAAATTAAAGAAAAGTAGACCGTTCTTTAGTGAGTTAGGCAAACTTGAAATAAAACATTAAAGGTGGGGTAGGTAAGTTTGAGAAACCGGCTCGAGATACACTTTTTGTTATATTCCATGGAATGCTCTTAACACCCCGATAGCAATGAATATCTTAAGTGCTTTGACAAAAAATCCATAAGAAAATGTCATCTGTGGAAGCCGTAGTACTGTAAAAAGTACGACCAATCATTTTAGCCGGCCCGGCTAAAATAACTGGATGAGCTACCTGCCTGTCAGCCTTCCATCTGTGCACAAACTTATCTCGTGCCCTCATTGGTCATGTGCACGTTCGTGTGTGTTGGAGGAGGGGCTCTATAAGGAAGTGGCAGATTTTCTCCGGTTGTGTATTTTCAAATTCTAGCGATCTCGAGCCGGTTTCTCAAACTTAGCTACCCTACCTTTTAAGTAAATATCATTATAGAAACATAAGTATGTTCATAACTGTTTCATCAATATGTTTGTTTTTCTATTTTTTAGAGTCTCATTCACAACTAAATGGTAAGTCGAAGTTTTATGGACTTTTTTCACATGTACACACATTTCATTATTGTTAGTGTTGGCTGTAAAAACGGTAATGAGTTGGGTTATTTTTAACAATTTGCTTGATATATCTTTGCTATTTTGTTCATTCATGTTACAATTCATTTTCTTATAAAACACAACAACTTAAAAAAGGTAGACCCCCTGCTAAAGACCAGTGTGTGCTGAACTCAATTACACTCAGCGCCACACATGAGAATGAAATGAGAATCCCATCAGGGGCCAGCCTCCAGACACATACAGTTTATTAAAATGCTATTATCTATTCCAAACAAAATGTCGTCCACAAAAACTCTAAAAAGTTGCTTCGTCATCATATCATTTACATGTCATAAACAGCCTATAGACTTCTGGCAATCAGATGCACATACAAACCTCAAAATTACAAATTAACTTTGTAGTCAATCAGAATCAATCAATATGACAACTCGATATAAAACCCGGGAGAGCAGAGGGGCTCACTGTGTTGTGTTGTGTGTCTCTGTCAGTGTGCGGTAAGCCCGCGCTCAACACCAGGATCGTTGGAGGACAGGCGGCCCCTGAGGGCAGCTGGCCCTGGCAGGCCAGCCTGCATCGATCAGGGAATCAGTTCTGTGGAGGGTCCCTCATTAACAGTGAATGGGTGCTGACTGCGGCTCACTGCTTCCCAAGGTGTGTCCTATATCCTATAATGAAATGTATTTATGTGACTTAATTCATGAGGAAATATTATTCTCATTTTCAGGTTCAGATTTGTATTTTGTTCCTCTACTGTGACATGTTTCCATGCTTTAATGTTCAGAAAGCTCTTTATTGTTCTCATACTGCCTGTGCTGCAGCACCTCTTTTCACCCTCTGTCTGAAACCAGAGCCCAGTCTGCTCTGATTGGTTAGCTGGCTGGCTCTGTTGTGATTGGTCAACCGCTTAGAGATTTCCCGCCCCTTAGCCTATCATGTACAATTTGTTGGAGCGGGGGGTAGTACTGTGAACCCAAGCACTACTTGGTCATTTCTGCACAGCTCTTCCAGTTTTAATTCAGATATACTGCTTTTTTTACAGTAATTGGTCATATTGTTATAGTTTCTTTAATTATGGTACATTTAGTCTTATATCTGGTTTGCGTTATAATTGGTTACATTTATTTTTACTTTATAATAGTTTATAAGTAAGCAAATGCCCTTTACAGTATGTGAAGAATTACTTTACCTGATTCTGATCATTTGAATTTTCATGAATCAATCAATTTATAATTGTTTTAATTTATGTCACTAAGTGAGTTATCATCAGTTTACTATGATATAAGTTTACTAATATTTTTATTTTTTAACTCTCCAGTTCCGGCATAGCCAACCTGATTGTGTATCTGGGTCGCCAAAATCAAGAAGGCGTCAACCCTAACGAGGTGTCGAGGATGGTTACACGGATCATCAATAACCCTAACTACAACTCCGGGACGATCGACAACGACATCTGCCTCCTGAAGCTCTCCTCTCCGGTCCCCTTCACCAACTACATCGCTCCCGTGTGCCTGGCAGCCTCGGACAGCACCTTCTTCAGCGGCACCGACTCCTGGGTCACCGGCTGGGGGGACGTCGCATCTCAAAGTGGGTTCAGAAGGCAACATTTATTTTATTATTAAGGTCACAACTCTGCTGTTTAAATGCAACAAACATTTAGATTTCCATTGAGCACTTAACTGAGCACTCATAAGGGTGTCCCAAAAAAAAGACATTTCAGAACACACTGAAAAATTGCACAAATTACAAAAACTTTTCACAAACGTCAAAATCAAATCAGAAAACTCAAACATATTTCACAAAAACATAAAACAAAAAAACCTCAAAATATATTTTACGAACCACACATTTAACAAACATTACATTTTGTCAAATGTCATTGTGTTATGTATAAGGTCGTTTTAACATTATTAGAAACACAAAAAATGTTTGATGATACGTTTTAGCACTTCATAATTGCAGTGGTTGTAATTCATTGTAATCTTTTTAAAATGCAGTAAAAATCCTGTGCTCTTAAAGAAGTGTGTATTTGTGTCTCTTCAGTTCCTCTTCCATCCCCAAAAAGCCTCATGGAGGTGGAGGTGCCCATCGTGGGGAACAGGCAGTGCAAATGTGACTATGGAGTGAATAGAATCACAGACAACATGATCTGCGCCGGGCTCCGGGCCGGAGGGAAGGACTCCTGTCAGGTGAGCATCTTTGACCCAACCTTCTCCAATCCTTTCTGTTACACAGTATCTATCTTAAAATGGTGCAGGTATACCCTAATAGACTGGTATCTGGATGACGTATTTTTGTGGTCTGACCCTGAACTCAGCATCTTACTGTTTCCCTCCACAAAACACATTCATGATACTAGTTTTGGTTCAAGCTCTACATATTCACACCACTTTATGGTTTTTGAAGCATTAATGCAATCGAACAGCTAACATTAGCTGTGAAGGAACAACAGCACAGTCACATGACTTCACCTTTCCACCGCTAAGCTAAAGGTGGTTAATGTTCGATGACGTTTAGTAGTGTCCTTTAATTTCTGCAACTGTGCTCAGAAATTCACAGATGGAGTATTTTACTGACGTATTTTATGTTGTAGAACAAAAACTAAACGGAAACATTTGAATGCAGGATCAATACCCTTTAAGTAGGTACTTTAACTAGGCTAGATTTAGCTGATTGCATACTCAAAGAAACGTTACTTGTAGTGGACTATTTTCAGAGTCTGGAATTAATATTTTTACTGCATTCAAGAACCTGAAGACTTTCATATTTGACCTTCCGCAAAGACCCTTTTCTAAATGTGCCTCTCATTAAAGGGGGACTCAGGTGGTCCGCTGGTGAGCAAGCAGGGCGGCCGCTGGATCCAGGACGGAGTCGTGAGTTTTGGTGAGGGTTGCGCCTTACCTAATTTCCCAGGAGTCTACTCCAGAGTTTCCCGGTATCAGGCCTGGATCAACAGCCTAATCACCAGCAACCAGCCGGGCTTCGTCACCTTCACGTCCACAGGGACTGACAGCGACCTCAGCGTGTCCTGTCGCGGCCTGCCCCCCCTTCCAACCTCCGCCCCTACATCCCCACGTGAGTACCTGTCACCTGTCAGTCATTTGCAACAGAAATGTGGAAAAGCCGGATTTAATATGGTTGTTTCATTTTGTTGAAAGATTAGAGTCAAAGGTTTTTACAGAGGAGATTTTGGAAATGTCTTTTTCACTCCATTAATTTGAAAAAAACATACTTTACATCAGACCTTCAGAATTTAAATAGGAATACAGCTGTACATTTGATTGTATGCAAGTGCTACTCGATCTCTTGAATTAGATAATACGCATTTTTAGAAAGTGGCTTTTAGATATATATATTGTAAAACTCTTACATGTTGTACACACTACAGGTGAAAGGGTAAACATTTTACTGATAGATATCACCACAAAACTTCCCTAATAGATCACTTGCATTAAGGCATATTCACATCTTAAACTGCACTGTAACTTTTATCCATGTATTTTTTCTTTTAATGTTTCTTTTATTATCTTTTCTTTTTAATGACTGATTTTAAATGCCATTTTCTTAATGTCTTTCATTTTTTGTAAAGCACTTTGAATTGCCTTGTGTTGAAAGGTGCTATATAAATAAACTTGCCTTGCCTTGCCTTGCCTTGCCTTGCCTAAGGCAAATATTTGTTGTATTACAAGTTCTCTGAAATACTAGTGTTACATTTTCAAATGATGTATTATGTACTGCTCGCTTTTGAAATGTACACAAATAGAGAAAAACTAAATGTGTATTTGGGATGTTTCCTCTTTTTATAAATTCTGTTTAAGCTTGTTCCACTTTACATTGTAGCTATATAATTAATACTTTGAAAATGGAAGAACTATTTTTGTGTATCACTCCCCACGAAAGTTCACCCTGAAATGTTTGCTGTATTTGGAAACTTTCAAATATTAAGTTCTGTGTAATACTGTGTCTTCAGCACCTGAGTTTAATATCTTTACATCTGTACGTTGTGATTGTACAGCAAAGGTCACTCCACAGCCGTCAAACTCTGGAACAACCACAACTCAACCTCCACCCACTGGTAAGAGCTTCAGGACATTATATTCCAAAACCATAGTTTTTCTTCATCTAACACAAGATTATAGCAGTTTTCCTCAAGTACTGTACATAAGTACAATTTAAGGTATTTGTACTTTGAGTATTAACATATATATGTATAATACTTATCTTCTCAGAAGTACTCAAAGTATCCAAACTTTGTTGACATTGACAAATTACAACATGAAACACTCTTATGTAATTGTCAGTGATAAAACTTGCAAATCAGGTATTATGTATGTATTGCTTGTTTTTGGTGAATTTAGGAGAAATGTTCCCACATAGAGAAAAAATGTTAAACTATTAGCAGCTAATTGTACATTTTGGAATTTTCTCTTGTGTTACACGTTCAGTATAACCTTGTACCACTTTACATTGAAGATGTATGTTGTTTACACATGCTAAAATAGGAATTTATTTTGTGTATCATTCTGTGAAAACCCACTCTGACATGTTTGGTGAATTTGGAAAACTTTCCAGTATAATTACAAATATTAAGTTCTGTGTTTTGGGTTTTGGGTTTGAACCAGCTTGACTTAACAAAAATGTAGTACTGTGTCTTCAGCACCTGAGTTTAATATCTTTACATCTGTACGTTGTGATTGTACAGCAAAGGTCACTCCACAGCCGTCAAACTCTGGAAAAACCACAACTCAACCTCCACCCACTGGTAAGAGCTTCAGGACATTATATTCCAAAACCATAGTTTTTCTACATCTAACACAATATTATAGCAGTTTTACTCAAGTACTGTACATAAGTACAATTTAAGGTATTTGTACTTTGAGTATTAACATTGTTTTTGTTAATAGTTAAATAACTAACATGAGTTATTTGATAAGACAAATTACAACAACAAACATCTCTTAAAGGTGGGGTAGGTAAGTTTGAGAAACCGGCTCGAGATACACTTTTTGTTATATTCCATGGAATGCTCTTAACATCCCGATAGCAATGAATATCTTAAGTGCTTTGACAAAAAATCCATAAATAAATTCATCTGTGGAAGCCGTAGTACTGTAAAAAGTACGACCAATCATTTTAGCCGGCTCGGCTAAAGTAACTGGATGGCCTACCTGCCTGTCAGCCTTCCATCTGTGCACAAACTTATCTCGTGCCCTCATTGGTCATGTGCGCGTTCATGTGTGTTGGAGGAGGGGCTCTGTAAGGAAATGGCAGATTTTCTCCGGTTGTGTATTTTCAAATTCTAGCGATCTCGAGCCGGTTTCTCAAACTTACCTGCCCCACCTTTAAATGTATTTGTTAGTAAGAAAAGAACAGAATAGTGTTATATCTATAATAATACATCTCTTTTATAGAGTCACTCTCATAATGAGTACTTTTATTTGTGATAGTTTAAGTACAGGCTGATGATACATTTGTTCTTATACTGTAGTAGTATTATTGACTTTTTTTAAACCCCAGGCTGTATACATGTTGTTCCTTCCTGTTTCATTAATCATTTCATTGCTTCATAGTTTAAAAATGTCATTGTCTAAACGTGGTAGTTAGCTTTATGTGTTTTTGTACACTCTGTTGTCAAATGTCAAAATGTCAAATGTCCATACTTTGAAAATTAAATAACTATTTTTGTGTATCACTCCCCACGAAAGTTCACCCTGAAATGTTTGCTGTATTTGGAAACTTTCAAATATTAAGTTCTGTGTAATACTGTGTCTTCAGCACCTGAGTTTAATATCTTTACATCTGTACGTTGTGATTGTACAGCAAAGGTCACTCCACAGCCGTCAAACTCTGGAAAAACCACAACTCAACCTCCACCCACTGGTAAGAGCTTCAGGACATTATATTCCAAAACCATAGTTTTTCTACATCGAACACAAGATTATAGCAGTTTTACTCAAGTACTGTACATTAGTACAATTTAAGGTATTTGTACTTTGAGTATTAACATATATATGTATAATACTTATCTTCTCAGAAGTACTCAAAGTATCCAAACTTTGTTGACATTGACAAATTACAACATGAAACACTCTTATGTAATTGTAAGTGATAAAACTTGCAAATCAGGTATTATGTATGTAATGCTTGTTTTTGGTGAATTTAGGAGTATTGTACCCACATAGAGAAAAGTACAAATATTAACAACTAATTGTGCATTTTGGAATTTTCCCTTTTGTTACATTTTCAGTATAACCTTGTACCACTTTACATTGAAGATGTATGTTGTTTACACATGCTAAAATAGGAATTTATTTTGTGTATCATTCTGTGAAAACCCACTCTGACATGTTTGGTGAATTTGGAAAACTTTCCAGTATAATTACAAATATTAAGTTTTGGGTTTGAACCAGCTTGACTTAACAAAAATGTAGTACTGTGTCTTCAGCACCTGAGTTTAATATCTTTACATCTGTACGTTGTGATTGTACAGCAAAGGTCACTCCACAGCCGTCAAACTCTGGAAAAACCACAACTCAACCTCCACCCACTGGTAAGAGCTTCAGGACATTATATTCCAAAACCATAGTTTTTCTACATCTAACACAATATTATAGCAGTTTTACTCAAGTACTGTACATAAGTACAATTTAAGGTATTTGTACTTTGAGTATTAACATTGTTTTTGTTAATAGTTGAATAACTAACATGAGTTATTTGATAAGACAAATTACAACAACAAACATCTCTTAAAGGTGGGGTACGTAAGTTTGAGAAACCGGCTCGAGATACACTTTTTGTTATATTCCATGGAATGCTCTTAACATCCCGATAGCAATGAATATCTTAAGTGCTTTGACAAAAAATCCATAAAAAAATGTCATCTGTGGAAGCCGTAGTACTGTAAAAAGTACTACCAATCATTTTAGACGGCCCGGCTAAAATAACTGGATGGCCTACCTGCCTGTCAGCCTTCCATCTGTGCACAAACTTATCTCGTGCCCTCATTGGTCATGTGCGCGTTCGTGTGTGTTGGAGGAGGGGCTCTGTAAGGAAGTGGCAGATTTTCTCCGGTTGTGTATTTTCAAATTCTAGCGATCTCGAGCCAGTTTCTCAAACTTACCTACCCCACCTTTAAATGTATTTGTTAGTAAGAAAAGAACAGAATAGTGTTATATCTATAATAATACATCTCTTTTATAGAGTCACTCTCATAATGAGTACTTTTATTTGTGATAGTTTAAGTACAGGCTGATGATAGATTTGTTCTTATACTGTAGTAGTATTATTGACTTTTTTTAAACCCCAGGCTGTATACATGTTGTTCCTTCCTGTTTCATTAATCATTTCATTGCTTCATAGTTTAAAAATGTCATTGTCTAAACGTGGTAGTTAGCTTTATGTGTTTTTGTACACTCTGTTGTCAAATGTCAAAATGTCAAATGTCCATACTTTGAAAATTGAAGAACTATTTTGTGTATCACTCCCCACGAAAGTTCACCCTGAAATGTTTGCTGTATTTGGAAACTTTCAAATATTAATTTCTGTGTAATACTGTGTCTTCAGCACCTGAGTTTAATATCTTTACATCTGTACGTTGTGATTGTACAGCAAAGGTCACTCCACAGCCGTCAAACTCTGGAAAAACCACAACTCAACCTCCACCCACTGGTAAGAGCTTCAGGACATTATATTCCAAAACCATAGTTTTTCTACATCTAACACAATATTATAGCAGTTTTACTCAAGTACTGTACATTAGTAGTCTCGAACCCAAAGACGCTTTACATTTGGGGAAGGGCAGACAGACAAGGACAGGCAATAAAACAACAACAAAACAAAAACAAAACAGAAAAACAAAAAACAAAACAGAAAAGCAGTCAGGAGGAAGTTGGTTGAGAGGGGGGGGGGCTTATGGGTATACAGACTTGAAGAGATGGGTTTTGAGGCGGGACTGGAACAGGGTGAGGGACTCAGACTCACGGAGGTCTTGGGGGAGGGAGTTCCAGAGCTTCGGGGCTGCCACAGAGAATGCTCTGTCCCCAAAGCTCCGGAGTTTGGCCTTGGGGATGGAAAGCAAACCGGCTGAGGTGGATCTGAGGGACCGGGGTGGTTGGTAGAGGATGAGGAGGTCAGTGAGGTAGGGGGGGGGCCAGGTGGTGGAGGGCTTTGTAGGTGAGTACCAGGAGTTTGTATTGGATGCGGTGTGAAACGGGGAGCCAGTGAAGTTCTTTGAGGACCGGGGTGATATGATGCCATGATTTGGTGTGGGTGAGGAGTCTGGCGGCTGCGTTCTGGACACGCTGAAATCTATTGAGGGATGTAGTGCTGATGCCGTAGAGGAGTGCGTTGCAATAGTCCAGGCGGGAGGAGATGAAGGCGTGAATGAGTCGCTCAGCTGCGGGGCGGGTGAGAGAGGGACGGAGTTTGGCAATATTGCGGAGGTGGAAAAATGAGGTTTTTACAACTTGGCGGATGTGGGGCTCGAGGGAGAGGGTGGGGTCAAATATCACGCCAAGGTTGCGTGCCTGGGTGGAGGGGGAAACAGGGGTGCCATCGATGGTGAGTGTCAGGTTGGGGGTTTTGCTGAGGGTGGATTTGGAGCCGATGAGGAGGAGTTCAGTTTTATTGCTGTTGAGTTTGAGGAAGTTGTGTGCCATCCAGGATTTTATAGCAGTCAGACAGGATTCGATGTGGGTGAGGGGGGGGTTGTGGGGGGATTTGGTGCTGAGGTAAATCTGTGTGTCGTCAGCGTAACAGTGAAAGTCCAGGTTGTAGTGGCGGAGAATCTGACCAAGGGGGAGGATGTAGATGATGAAGAGGAGGGGGCCGAGTACTGAACCTTGGGGAACCCCTTGGGTGACTGAAGCTGTGGCAGAGGAGTGGTTGTTGAGGGAGATGAAGTGGGATCTGTCGGAGAGGTAGGACTGGAGCCACCTGAGTGCAGTACCTTCGATACCGATGTCCTGGAGTCGGGTGAGCAGGATGTTGTGGCTCACAGTGTCGAAGGCTGCACTCAGGTCGAGGAGGATGAGGATGTTAAGGGAACCGGTGTCAGCAGAGGTGAGGAGGTCATTGAGGACTTTGATGAGTGCCGTTTCTGTGCTGTGGTGGGGACGAAAACCAGACTGAAGGGGTTCAAAAAGGTGATTTGTTTGGAGATGGCGGTGGAGTTGTTTGGAGATGATACGTTCTATTGTTTTTGAGAGAAAGGGGAGGTTGGAGATGGGGCGGTAATTACTGAGGGAGGAGGGATCCAGACCGGGTTTCTTGAGGATGGGAGTGACAGCAGCAGTTTTGAAGGCAGAGGGAACGGTTCCTTGGGACAGGGAGGAGTTGAAAAGGTTGACAAGGTAAGGGCAGAGGACGGGGAGGCAGGACTTCAGTAGAGGGGTGGGTAAGGGGTCAAGCGAGCAGGTTGTGGGTTTGGAGGAGCTGATCAGTTTGAGTATTTCAGGGGGGGTAACCAGAGTGAACTGGGAGAGGCGGCCGTGGGGAGGAGGGCTCGGGAGGTCCAGGGAGATGGAGGGAGAAATTGTGGCGGTGGGTGTTGGGGGAGATGTTTGTGTGTGAGATGCAGTGGATAGGGAGAGATTAATGGCAGTGATTTTGTCAGAGAAGCTGCGGTTCGAGTCCAGGGGGAGAGTAGAGGATAGCAGGTCGGAGAGGTGCTGGGGATCGACAGAGCAAATACTTATCTTCTCAGAAGTACTCAAGTATCAAAACTTTGTTGACATTGACAAATTACAACATAAAACACTCTTATGTAATTGTAAGTGATAAAACTTGCAAATCAGGTATTATGTATGTAATGCTTGTTTTTGGTGAATTTAGGAGAAATGTTCCCACATAGAGAAAAAATGTTAAACTATTAGCAGCTAATTGTACATTTTGGAATTTTCTCTTGTGTTACATTTTCAGTATAACCTTGTACCACTTTACATTGAAGATGTATGTTGTTTACACATGCTAAAATAGGAATTTATTTTGTGTATCATTCTGTGAAAACCCACTCTGACATGTTTGGTGAATTTGGAAAACTTTCCAGTATAATTACAAATATTAAGTTCTGTGTTTTGGGTTTGAACCAGCTTGACTTAACAAAAATGTAGTACTGTGTCTTCAGCACCTGAGTTTAATATCTTTACATCTGTACGTTGTGATTGTACAGCAAAGGTCACTCCACAGCCGTCAAACTCTGGAAAAACCACAACTCAACCTCCACCCACTGGTAAGAGCTTCAGGACATTATATTCCAAAACCATAGTTTTTTCTACATCTAACACAATATTATAGCAGTTTTACTCAAGTACTGTACATAAGTACAATTTAAGGTATTTGTACTTTGAGTATTAACATTGTTTTTGTTAATAGTTGAATAACTAACATGAGTTATTTGATAAGACAAATTACAACAACAAACATCTCTTAAAGGTGGGGTACGTAAGTTTGAGAAACCGGCTCGAGATACACTTTTTGTTATATTCCATGGAATGCTCTTAACATCCCGATAGCAATGAATATCTTAAGTGCTTTGACAAAAAATCCATAAAAAAATGTCATCTGTGGAAGCCGTAGTACTGTAAAAAGTACTACCAATCATTTTAGACGGCCCGGCTAAAATAACTGGATGGCCTACCTGCCTGTCAGCCTTCCATCTGTGCACAAACTTATCTCGTGCCCTCATTGGTCATGTGCGCGTTCGTGTGTGTTGGAGGAGGGGCTCTGTAAGGAAGTGGCAGATTTTCTCCGGTTGTGTATTTTCAAATTCTAGCGATCTCGAGCCGGTTTCTCAAACTTACCTACCCCACCTTTAAATGTATTTGTTAGTAAGAAAAGAACAGAATAGTGTTATATCTATAATAATACATCTCTTTTATAAAGTCACTCTCATAATGAGTACTTTTATTTGTGATAGTTTAAGTACAGGCTGATGATACATTTGTTCTTATACTGTAGTATTATTGACTTTTTTTAAACCCCAGGCTGTATACATGTTCTTCCTTCCTGTTTCATTAATCATTTCATTGCTTCATAGTTTAAAAATGTCATTGTCTAAACGTGGTAGTTAGCTTTATGTGTTTTTGTACACTCTGTTGTCAAATGTCAAAATGTCAAATGTTTGTCTTCAGTTTTGTTATAACAACCAAGCGTGTGTATCTGCCCATCTAACCTCTCATGCTAACATAGCCTTAAACCCTAATGTTGTTTGTCTTTATGGCTGTATGAACAAGAAACTCTAGTGGTTTTGGTCTTTATAACTGATTAAAACAGTGTTTTATTGACTGCTTTATACCAATATGGACTGCTAGCTCATGCCTTACCTCGTCTTTTGCAGGCCACATTTTCAGAATCTGAATTAAAAAAAATGTATATCTTGAGGAAATTGGGTTGCAGGACACTTGCTCCATTTGAGAATAAAGTAGAATATAAAAACATTGCTTAAAAATTAGTAAGTTATAGTAAAAATGTGCAATGCATAATGAAATAAAATAAAGATATTTATATATTTACATATGTAATTCAAGTTAAATGTCCAATAAATGGTCAAATACAATAATATAGAATACGAATATTTATATTGACATAAGTTAAAGTAAGATTGTGCTGCAAAAACATACAATTAAATAAAGATACTTAAATAAACATAAGTAGATTAATTAAAATGTCCAATAAAAGATCAAATCAAATGTAAAAGGGTTTGGCTGCTGATGGTTAAGTGAGTCTCTTGGTGAGGGAGGAGTTAAGAGTCTGATGGCCACAGGCAGGAATGACTTCCTGTTTGATGGCCACAGGCAGGAAGGACTTCCTGTTTGATGGCCACAGGCAGGAAGGACTTCCTGTTTGATGGCCACAGGCAGGAAGGACTTCCTGTTTGATGGCCACAGGCAGGAAGGACTTCCTGTGGTGCTCTGTGGAGCATCTTGGTGTAATGAGTTGTTCTCTGAAGCTGCTCTTGTGGCTAACCAGTGTGTCATTGAGTGGTTGGAAAACATTTTCCAAGATGAGCCACACCATGAACAGCCTCCTCCTCTATGACACCGCCTTCAGAGAGTCCAGTTGAGGTTTTTTTGTGGCTCAAAAACTGATGTCATAAACAATTTCTATCTCATTTTGAGTATTTGCAGATTTTTTCTACACCTGATACATTGTCGTTATTGTTTAAATGCTCTTTATTTGTTAAACTATGATCCCTATTTCATCAATCCCATCCCACAATATATACAAATATTTATTATAGATCAAATCTGGTAGATGGAAAATAAATTATTTTTTCAAAAGTTATTAATAAAACTAGGTTTGGTTCAGGTTCATTGCTTTGCTGTTTTTTGTGCTATCTACTGACTAACCCTTTTCCTTTTGTCTTTGTTTTTATCTGTATGTCTATAGCTGTGTTAAGTGCTTTGAGAGCAAAAAGAAACTAACGTTCAGAAATCTGATTGTGATTGTTTCTCCAGCTGTGTTCTGTGGCAAAGCCCCGAGGAATTCACGTATTGTGGGAGGAAGCTCGGTGGCGACGGCCGGCGAGTGGCCCTGGATGGTGAGTCTGCAGAAGAACGGGAGGCATGTGTGTGGCGGGACTCTGGTGGCCGAGAACGCCATCTTGAGCAACGCCGAATGCTTCACAAGGTGAGACACCTGGAGTAATGGTTCCAACAAATGACGACCAAAGTATGTCCAACTTTAGTCGTAAGATGGTCTTCTCAAAGGCTGCATTGTCACTGTTTTGTAACTACAGTGTGCGAAAACCACAGACGTAAGTCTAGCCTACAACAACGCACTGTGTCAATGGTTTTTATATTGGACTTTATGGAAACCGCCTATTTTAAACCAGAGGTTTGGAAGTTTTGAGTTCTCTTCAGTCAGATGTCTAAAGAGAACTAGATACAACGTCGGAGGCGGGGCCCCGTTCGTTCCTATGAAAGTGGCACATGAAGCCCGAAATGGAAAGACTATAGATTAAAAAAGTACCCGACCTGGGCCCATAGAGCATGAGCACTTGAGTTTTCCTTTAGCCCCGACTCCAATCTCCCACTCTTGGTTCCGTCATGGAGAGGGAAAAAACTCTGGATTCTGCATTTTTACAGCTTTTAGACTCTAATGATTTAAATATTGGATAGAAAAGTGTTTGGACTGGGTAGTTTTTTTTAAGCTAAAAAAGAATTATCCGCTGATTTACAGACGTTTCAAAATGATGTAATTTATGTGTAAAGTATGTGTAGTACCGTCGTTTGGCAACTTCGAAAATGTGCTTAAACAGCCAGCGCTCTTCCTGGGGGCTTGCTCAGTCCTGGGAATTCGGTGCTCTCTGGGGCGGCACAGCCATCTTTGTAGGAAAGCTTTTATAGCAAAGGCAGCCGCTGTCACTTTCTATGCTGAATGACTGAATGATAACTAAATGTTGATTTATGCTGCATAATTAATCTACGGATATATTATATATATTTCGCGACAATTCAGGTCTTAAATTAAATGTTCTGTTTCAGGGTTACTGTAGTTCAGCAATTATTTTAGATACTTGCATTAAACAGTCAGCAGTTGGCTGCTACCGTATTGTTGTTACAATCAACAACAATGCCAAGTTAAAAATAGTTCCAGTTGAACCAGTTCGAGCTACTTTACTGTCTGCACAGGTTAGTATACATATTGCGGTCGGTCGCAGGTATCCTCAAAAGATGGCCAACCTGCTGTTGATGTTGTCTCTTTCCTATTCCTTATGGAGTGTTGCAGGGATACCGTATTTATGTAGGGGAACCTTGAAGTGAGCATATTCCCGGTTCCCTCTGCAAAAATCCAATGGAAATTAGATTTTTGGGTTATTGCAGAAAGTATGCCATGTGGCAAACAAACGATTATGATAGTTGCATGTTTTGCTCAATAGAATAATCCCTTATGTTAACACCACTTTTATAATTCTTCAAAAGTAAAAAGCTAACGTTAGGCTATACGCAGGAACCATACGACTGTCACATGGCTACGCTAAGCTAAACTAAGGTCATCGCTAGGCTAAAGATGGCTAATGTTCAGGGGGGTTACATTAAAGGTGGGGTAGGTAATTTTGGAGAAACCAGCTCGAGTGCGCTAGAATTTGAAAATACGCCACTTCCTTACAGAGCCCCTCCTCCAACACACACGAACGTGCACATGACCAATGAGGGCACGAGATAAATTTGTGCACAGATGGAAGGCTGACAGGCAGGTAGGCCATCCAGTTATTTTAGCCGGGCCGGCTAAAATGATTGGTCGTGCTTTTTACAGTATTACGGCTTCCACAGATGACATTTCTTTATGGATTTTTTTTCAAAGCACTTAAGATATTCATTGCTATCGGGATGCTAAGAGCATTCCATGGAATATAACAAAAAGTGTATCTCGAGCCGGTTTCTCAAACTTACCTACCCCACCTTTAAGTGGCTAATGTTCAGGGGGGTTACATTAAGTATTCACATTTAGACACTAGTGAGCTACCCGCTTTTAAGACAAGCTTTAGAAATTCACAAAGAACATATTTACCGATGTATTTTATGTCATTAAACAAACAAATCTCTGAAGCTTATATTAAGCATTTAACCAAAATGTTTTGACTAATTTCAGGGTTTTAGGACTCATTCTGCAGGTCAATATTGAGTTCATGTTTTATCTCCCACAGTTCCCCCTCAGCGTCTGATTGGACCGTTGTGTTGGGTCGGCTGAAACAGAATGGGTCCAACCCCTTTGAGGTGAAAATGAACGTGTCAAACATCACTCTGAGCATGATGACGGGGTCTAATGTAGCCGTGCTGCACCTGCACACCAAGCCCACCCTGTCCGACTACATCCAGCCCATCTGCATGGACAATGGACGGACCTTTTCCGTGGGAACGTCCTGCTGGGTTGCTGGTTGGAGCTCTGCGAAAGGAGGAGGTGAGATTAAACATTTTTGGAATTTGCACACTAATATAGGCGCTTACAAAGTACCTCAAGTCCAAGTTTTAGCAATTTAGATGTTTCATTTCCCGTCTTTTTTTTTGTTCTTCCACTCTTCAGAAGAACAAGTCCTGCAGGAGTTTAAGACCTCTGTGGAAAATTGTGGGAACGCGTTGTCGAGTGACATTTTATGTACCGGCACTTTTACACTGGATCCAGTAAGTTATTTCCTTTTTCTTTCTTTATGTAGTTAGCCTATATTTCTGTGTTGCTCAAAATTTTTATTTAGGAGATTATTTCACTTTCATATGTTTTTTCTGTTTTATCAATGTGTTTTAGGGTCTTTTAACATTGGACACTTAAAAAATTACATTGGAAACACAAGTTGAACCTTTTTAAAATAGGTACAGACTTAAATGTAACACTATTTCTACAAGCCTTAAGAAGGTATTGTTTGTGCAGCACATCAGAACGGGGGTTCATACAAAACTACTGCTTATATTCAAGTATGCAGACTATCAAAACTATACTTGCATGTCGGCTTAGGTGGTATTTTCCTTTATTCTATAAGCACACATCAAGGAGTATGTGAATATTCATATATCGTTTTTTGATTAATATTTACATAATTAAATACATAAAGATTTTTATTTTATTTTATGTGATTTACTTTTTGTACCCTACAGTGTCGTATAGTTCGTTTTTTTAATAGTTAGTTAGTCATTTTATATATCACGACTGGCATAGCACAGTTGCACATTTGCAGAAATAAATAGTTAAATAAATAAAAAGAGTTAATGGATGACATACAAATGTTTTTTATTGTGTAGTACAAAAATGCAAACATGTATTTTATTTCCTTTGATGTATAGCTTCTAAAGCGATGATTGAGAGTGGTATCTTTTTATAAAAGTGTATGTAGTCACGTAGGCTGTTGATTGGTTTTGATTTTAATTAAGAGGTAATGAAGTAGTTAGGGTTAGGTTTCTTTTTAATTATATATAAGATTATCAGCAAGACAATCAGCAGCTTACAGAGGTAATATTGTTTCACCATCCCTCCTAAATGTTGTGTGTCTGTGTGTTCAGACTGACTCTGGCGGTCCGATGATGTGTAAGCAGGACGGCTCCTGGTTCCAGGCGGTGGTGCTCTCAGCTGAAAGCACAGCCAATAAGACCAGAACAAAAGCAGCAGTGAAGAAACATACAAGACTCAGCCGCTTCGAGAACTTCCTGGAAGTAAATGTGGGCTTCTTATCTTCAGGCACCCCCACCGCTGCCCCCACCGCTGCCCCCACCGCTGCCCCCACCGCTGCCCCCACCCCCACGCTGCCCACCAACAGCGGGGGGAGCCCTGTTCTCTCCCCCCTCTTCTTCCTCCTCCATCTCCTCATCTTCTCCACCTGTCTCCGACTCTTTTTGTAGAAAGCTCAAACTTTGTAAATTGTGATTTACATGATGTGGCGATCACAAATGAATGTAATCTTTATTAACAAATGTCTTCATTTAAGAGAAGATTTAGCTCAAAGCTGCATCTATGACTTAATTTTGTGAGCACTTGGCGTAGAGAGGTAGTTAAATCCGACATCCGGGGGGAAATAACAACTTAAGGAGCTGCAATAAGCACAGCAATGCAAAAATAAATCCTATCAGAGAGGCTAATTTCTGTTTAAACAATCCTTATTCAACTGCAGGGTACATGTTGCAGAAACCTCCTATTTTAAGGAAGGAAAGGAAGAGTTAAACACTGTGTCCACACAGCGTCTCTTTCTGAGCGCCTTTTTTCATTTATGTCTGCTCTAGAAACCAACACTACTTTTCACACTGAGCTAAACCTTTGAACCGTTGTTTTTCTTATTGAAACACAAAAATAATGACGTCACGTTAAGACAATTAGAGGAGTTAGAAGTGTTGACGACATCTGTAGAGAAATCTAAAGATGTTATTTTGGGAAATGAAGAATAACTCCAAAGCAGGAGATAGAAGAAGGTTAGCGGGCTAACATACTAGTTAGCATTTTGTATGTTTTGTTGAGCATAAAGAGAGCGGCCATACAGGTTAAAAAACGCTTGCTAAATCTACTTCGTAGAATAGGGAGAGTGAGAACAGTTTATGCCTAGGGGTTTAAATCAGTTTCAACTTCATCTCTCTTACTTATACATTAAAAACATTATTAGCTGCCTTGGTGTTTTTGTGGATAACAGACATGGAAAGAGAAAATATATATGTTTAACTGCATAAGTAAGTCAAGAAACATATTGTAAATATAGAGAAGAAATACCACACCTTTATGAAAAAATATATAATGAAGATGTAAAAACTCTGGGCAGGGAATATGCAAAACTGTACACTAAGGTACAGGATTGGTGGATCTTTCTTTTTCTTAGAGTTCCCAACCCTGAGGGTTTTACAGAAAGCAACATTTTATATATTTGTAAAGAAATGTGTGCATGTACAGAGATACATTTCTAAAAGAAAGTTAAAAATAAACGTTTAAATATGAATTACTTTGAAGGAGATTAACCTGAAGCCAGCTTCACTGCTCTATCACAAAATAAAACATGATTACATTCATTTTGTGATCCTGTACGCGAACTGCTCCAGTCTAAAAATGAAGAATAGTTTGAGCTGCACTGAAAAAAAGTCTGGTACGGTTTATGAAGCTATGGACCATACGGCTAAATGCACGTTTTTTTTATAATTATTTTTTTAATGAATACAATAATGAAATGTGTGAAATCTTTGTAATATATAATCTTCTACGTACTGAGGAATATTTTGTGAGAACTTTATAATTGTTTAACCTCAAAGTGGCATTTATTATGGATCGAGACATTACACACATGGCCTTAACATCTTTTACAAAGACGTCAACTCCAACTGACGTAGAAGCAGATGGTGTATATTGATACAATTGGACGGATTATTGAACAAATGTAAGATTTAAGGAACACTGAGAGCCCTTGTCTACCTCATAATATCATGGAGCTAACATGTCAACATCTATAAAAAACAATATTTGCTCTTAAAATACTTCAGCTGCACTTTTCATGGGTCATAAGTCTGCCAAGTCTTGCCGTGGATTGCATGCTCTTTAACTGTGAAATAATTGTACAATTTGTTTTGATTTGATGCCATAATGACCTTTTTGAAATATTTCTGTGTTTTTTTTACAAACATCCAGAAGCATATTAATAATTCTCTTTATTGTTTTGGTTCATATTGAGATGATTAAATACATAATGAAAATGTGTTGTTGTGAGTCCATCTCTCTGGTGCGCTACATTTTCACTTAATTATAAAAATTAAAAGATTCTGAGCCCACCCGAGAAAACCACCATTTACAGGTTGGGGTCAGTAAACAATGTGGATAGATAAATCGTTGCCTATGATAGATCAATAAATAAATAGGGGTTTGATGAAAGAGCATGGTTAAAGGGGCCCTGTTATGCTCCCATAGATGAGAGTAACACCTACGTCACTTTCGGGCGAAAAGTACGGCCCTGCCCACTTTTTGGGGAAAACAACGCTGTCATTTGAATGGCGGTCAATAGAAATTCTGAATATTTTGCCAATCCGATCAGACATTTTTGAAAACCGTGGATTTTTGGATCTTCAAAGAGCCTGATTACGATGGCCAGTCAGCAGGGGCGGACTGGCCATCGGGACGAATCCCGATGGGCCGGTACTGAAGTGGGCCGGTCGGACAATGTGGGCCGCTCGGATAAGTCACTAGCTGTGTCGTTTATTGCACCTCAAACATTTTTTGTACTTCCTCTAAGAAAAAAGGACAGTAAAAGAAGAGCTCTGTGGCTTCAGGCTTGATCGCCATTCAAATGACAGCGTTGGTTTCCCCCAAAAGTGGGCGGGGCCGTAAAGTGACGTAGATGTTACTCTCATCTATGGACATCGATCGCCTACTGCTATATTTAACCATATATCGAGCCTGTAATGTTCTTATTGGTTATAAATAAGACATCATCTTGTATCTTTAGACTAGTTTTACTATCCAACTTTATTAGCCAACATGCAGTACCTTCACATCTTGTTCTGCTAACATCTATGTCCATAGATGTTATACTGTCGCCTAGTGGTAACATATATGTATTGTAACTAAGCATAAACACCTATCATTACATCCCCTTTCCAAACAGGTCAGTATAACACATTTCTTAATTATAAAGCTTCTGGAACGTACAGTCTTCAAATGTAAACATTTTAAACATTCAAAATGTCTAAACATACTGTAAAGAAAGTATAGCAGTTTTTAACTTGCTATTTACTCTAAATAAAAGATCTATTGTTAACAAAACGTATGACACAAATATCAAATAAATGCCAACCATGCTCTTTTCTTAAAGTCACTTACTGTATAACTGCATGTCAACAGTTTATTGTTCTATAAGTCTGTCAGGTGGTTTTCTATGTCTTTTTCTCAGATCTGGTGCTTCAGTTACTGGGGAAGGTGAAGGAGGCTCACTATGTTGCAAGTCTGATGTCTCCTCTACTCCCTTTTCAGACTCAAGGCTCGTCTCAATTGAATATTTCACCTCCTCCTTTCCCTCACTCGCGTCCATAGACTGTGGGTGTTTCTCAATCGCGAGTACGCTTGCTTGGTAGCACATGTCTGCCGAGCATCTTGCTTCAGAAGCGAGGCAAGAATACTTCCTGGCATTCGGAAAACAAAGAGTGGAACATGCTAGCAAGTGTGCAGGTGTGCGTCATATGAGAGGCCCCGCCTTACATTTTCCGCCACAGATTTGGGGAAATTGGTCCGTGCGCAAAGCATTGTGGGGATTTTAAGACCGCGGAGTCTACTCATGTGCAGCCTCGATATTTCTCCAAACGGAGTACGCCGGGCTCGGTAGATTTCCAAGTATGCTGGAGATTGGAACAGTACTTCGGCGGCACTCGATGACGTAGTATGCTTGAAATAGTGGCTCTGCAGCAGCTTTACTCCCGATTGAGAAACACCCACAATATATAAAGCTCGCGTCCCTTCCTTGCGTCTTAGCTCCGCCTCCGTAAGATGCGAGGAGGAGACGCGAGGAGGAGTCCTCACGTATTAATTGGGACGTCCTCGTTCACTCAAACGTCACTCTTAAACGACGTCTGTTAATGATGACAAGTGCACAGCTGTATCCCCTCTCATCGGGTTTAACCAACCTGAGCCTCGTCTCAATACCCCTCCTCGACTCCTCCTTTCCCTCACTCGCGTCCCTTCCTTGCGTCTTAGCTCCGCCTCCGTAAGATGCGAGCGAGAGACACGAGGAGGTGACGAGAGGACAGAGGAGTCCTCAGGTATTAATTGGGATGTCCTCGTTCACTCAAACGTCACTCTTAAACGACGTCTGTTAATGATGACATGTGCACAGCTGTATCCCCTCTCATCGGGCTTAACTGAATAACCCCTTAAAACCGGCCCATTTGTTGTTAAATATGTATTTAAATTATGAATCTTTCTCTTGTTAGTCAAGGAATTCAATGTATGATGGTTGGTCCTGCTTTTGTGTTCCGTTTTGGTGTAAAATGTACATTTCAATAAAATTATAATTATAATAATGTGAAAGCCTTTACTCTGAACATGTGTGTCCTGTAGATCCCCACATTCACCACAAACCCACATTCAGGACTGTGAATTTTAAATAATTTAACTACTCAATATTTGAACACAAAACAAAACAAATAATTGTTATTTATCAAGATCTAGCCATTTATGAAATAGCTTTCTTAATAGCTATGTTTTAGTGACGTTCAAGATCATTAAACATGACTTAAATTGTTAGTATAACCTTAAGAAATGAATTGCACATAATAATTCCCACGGAGCTGTGAGCACTTATTTATGTGACGCTTTCCACTCATTCTTCCAGTTCTCCGTTTTCCTCTCTTGAAATCGACCAGCTGTGAAGGTGGGGGCGGGGCTTTTATACGCGAGTAGTAAAAACACTTCCGTGTAGTCTGCTCTCGTGTATCCTCCCTTTCGTCTCCTCCCTCACCCCTCCTCAACTCCTCCATGTGCATTTCAGCTATTGGGACGTCCTTCAACATGGCGTGTCTTGATCGATTTCCGGGTCAAGTCCCGGAGGAGGGGAAGAGAGGAGTCGAGGAGGGGTATTGAGATGAACCTTCAGTCTCCTGACCAACTTCCTCAATGTTCTCCTGAGTCTTCAACAGACTCTTCCTGTTTCCCCGAAGCACTTGTCCATTCTCCGTTTTCACAGTGAATGACCTGGGACCCACTTCACTGAGGACAGTTGCTTTCCTGGTCCAGGAATCAGGACCCTCAATTCTCACAACATCCCCTTCCCGAAGAGGTTCCAGTCTCCTTGTCACTTTGTCATAGTTCATTTTCTGTTTGAGCTTGAGCTTCATTCTCTTATTATCCAGCACCTTCTTGTCGTTGTTGTAGTTTGGTACCGTGGTGCGCAGATTGCGACACATGAGGAGCTCAGCAGGGGATGCACCACACTCCAGCGGTGCGGCCCTGTAACTCAACAAAGCCAGGTAAGGGTCAGTTTTACCATCACTTGCCTTTTTCAGCAGCCTTTTAACAATTTGGACCCCTTTTTCAGCCTGCCCATTAGCCCGTGGATACAGTGGGCTAGAGGTAAGATGCTGAAATCCATACTGCTCCGCAAACTGTCTGAATTCCTCACTGCTGTATTGTGGACCATTGTCACTGACAACACACTGTGGGATGCCATGTCTGGTGAAGAAGCCCTTCATATGTGTGATGATAGAAAGTGCTGATGTACTGGAGAGCTGTGCTACCTCAGGGTAGTTTGAATAATAGTCTATTAACAAAAGATAGTCCTTGCCATTCAGATGGAATAGATCAGTGCCCACCTTTTGCCATGGTGCAGCTGGTAGGTCTGCAATCAGCATTGGCTGCTTTGTTTGTTTGTAGTGGTGTCTGAGACATGTGTCACATTTTCCTATCATGCTCTCAATGTCCATGTTGATGCCTGACCAATAAACTGCTTCTCTGGCCCTCCTTTTACATTTTTCCATGCCAAGATGTCCCTCGTGGATACGATGTAGCATGTCCTGACGCATGGATTGAGGGATGACAATCCTGTTCTGTCGCAGCACAAGGCCATTTGCCACACTCAGGTCTGCCCGTACAGGATAGAACTGTGGACAACTTCCTTTTGTCCAACGATTGAAAGTATGGCAGGCAACTTTCTGTAGTGTAGGGTCTTTTTCTGTCTCCTGCACAATTTTCTGCAACATGACATCAGAAGCTGGGAGCGATGCCATCACCATGTCAACGTGTGCTTCAACATCATCACCAGCTGTGAATCTGAGACTGGTGTCAGTGCTAGGTACAGGTGCCCTAGATAAAGTATCTGCCAGTACAATGTATTTCCCTGGAGTGTATATTAACTCAAAATCATATCGCTGCAGTTTCATCATCATGCGCTGGATTCTAGGTGTCATTTAGGTTTTTCTTTATGATTGAAATCAGCGGTTTGCGATCGGTCTCAGCTGTAAAGGTTGGTAAACCATAAACGTAACTGTGAAACTTTCCACACCCATACACTAGACCCAGAGTCTCCTTTTCAATTTGC